AAACATCAAAGTACTCTGACCGACGACACTGCTCTGGCCTCAGGTAGGCTATGGGGCGGTGTTCACCCGAAACCAGACTGAGATTGAGGGTGGTCAGGAGGAGTGTGAGCAGGAGTGAAAGCTGAAACAGAGACCAGAATGGGCCATGGGAAGCATTCCCGAGCACTGGAAAGCTCCACTTTATCTCCATTTTGGCAACAGTCGAGTCATTGAGTGAAGGGGCTAACTAGCAGAGCACAAATACACAAACACACACACAGCAAACGACAGTTTATTTAGCAAGTTTGAAATTTCTTTTAAACCCCGCTACCAAGTGGTCGGTGGGGCGCCATGGCAACGACTTTGTTGCAGCGTAAAGCGAGCGACAAAGTGAACCAAAAGCAGGTCAGTGCAGTGAGAAGAAGGTGCCTTCAGTCAGCCTGCAAGAATCGATCAACTGACTTCCAACTCATGATAGGTACAGTTTATGGCGGCATTTTACGTCTCTCTCCCTGACAGAGCACTTCTGCCGAATCGATTGCAATTTTTCAATTTTTAATTTATTTATAAGCCATTCTATTTATTTGTTCTTTCAGCATTTGGGANCCCTGATAGAGCACTTCTGCCAAATCGATTGCAATTTTTCAATTTTTAATTTATTTATAGGCCATTCTATTTATTTGTTCTTTCAGCATTTGGGGAGAATACTTTTGCAGTGCACTAAATTGCTCAGTGCTAATTAGGTTTTAAGAAGGCATAAGAGACAGGAAAATGGAATCGGGACGCCATTGGGCAGACAGGCAATTAGACAGGTTGACATGCAATTGGGCCATTTGTTCGTAGTGCATGTGACCGCTGTACAGACTATCGGATCTGAAAAATCAGCCATCTTATTCGCGCAGGTCAAGCTCAGCCTCGGGTACGGCAGTCTTGTTCACTTCGCACTTTGACCACTGCAGAGTGGCAATGGTGCACTGGGAGTTTATGGATTTCAATTCGGCATCAAACTTGTCTAGTGAATCCATGCCGCAGTAGGAGATGATGTAGGGGAAGATGCACTTCTCATACTTGGCCACATTACAGCACAGCTTAAGACTGTACTCCTCCTCCTCGGGTGGAATTGACTCTCGAAGGGGATCAAAGCACTTTGAGATGACCTTGTAGTGAGAGGTGAGTATGCTCAGGCAGCCATCATCGATGCAGCCTTCAATCAGCACCGAGGGATTCTTGGTGGCCAGTTGCAGACTAACGGTAAAGTAGAGACAGAGCAGTGCTGCAAACAGCGACACCGAGAAAGAGGATGACAGGAGATGATGATGATGATGATGGGCACTTGTTGCCATCATGGAGACTGCATGTGAACTGCATGTGGACAGCTGTATAGAAATGGCAGTCCCTTTTATACGGTCAGAGCAATGTCGTACAAATTAGCATTCTGTGTGCATCACTTGGCACCAGACAGACTGACCGACCGACACAAGAGTGCGAAGTGTGTTTCTTTCTCTTATGCAACTCTTTGATGATCTTTTTTCAATTGACAAAATAAAGTGAAGTAATATGGTCACGTCCGCGCTAGAGTACAATTGTTCCCGTACAAAAGGCAGATTCAAGCCGTTTCAAGGTTGATGGCCTCTGCACGGTGCCAGTTGCTTCCTGCACAACTAGCACAGTAAGAAAGTGCGCCTCCAGACTGAGGGGAGAGCCGCCCCCGAATGCGCTCTTTGAAAGGTTACAGCGGGGGGCAAAGAGCCCTCACCGATCCGACAGACACATAATGTTTACCATCGTTGCCTCCAAAACCTGCTTCTGATTCCGTTTGGCTCCAAGTGAATCTGGAAAGTCGTGTACCACGTGATCCAGTCATTGACATACCATCGTTCCAAGATGGCGTCAAACTGTTTTCCGCTTCTCTACAGCGGCCCCAACAAGGCGGTCATCACCAAATGGCGCGTCAGCGAAGATTTCATGATCAACCAGGATCCGTTCATTCTATTTCTCTACCGAACATGTGACGGCTCCGGTGTGGGTCAAGGAGATGAAAAGAAGTACAAAGTGAACCAAAATGGCGTCACTGTCCGACGGCTTTACAAGCGCACTGGTGATCTCATTCAACCTGGCGATGTGCTGCTTGAATACGAGCCCTGTTCTCATTCCACCCTCATGAAGGATTTGTGCGCAATTTGTGGTGTCAACATCAACAACTTTGATTCAAGTGAGAAAAAGAAAATTGCCGCAAACACTAGCGTCTCAATGGTTCACTCTATTCCAGAGCTGAGAGTGAGCAAAGAGGTGGCTGAAGATCTCGGCAGGGCAGATGAAGACCGTCTGCTGAAGTGCCGAAAACTCGTTCTCCTCGTTGATCTCGACCAGACGATTATTCATTCCACCAATCAAGTGGTGCCAAACGATGTGCCCGAAATTCACCACTACCAACTGGATGGAGCAAACTCTGCGTGGTATCACACAAAGTTTCGCCCATATATGAAAGAGTTTCTTGAAGAGATTTCTAAATATTACGAGCTACACATTTGCACTTTTGGCGCCAGGCGATATGCTCATCAAATATCCAAATTGATTGACCCCAACGGAAAGTACTTTCCTTCAGATCGAATTCTTTCTAGAGACGAGTTTTTCGATCCCCGCTCAAAGACCGGCAACATGAAGTCATTATTTCCCTGCGGTGACTCGATGGTCTGTATCATTGACGATCGTGTTGACGTATGGAATTACGCGCCAAATGTGGTTCACGTGAAGCCGTACTTGTGCTTTAAAACTGACGATATCAATGCTCCTGAAAAACTAAATATTGGCTTTAAAAGCTTTAGCACTCCAGAGCAAGAAAGCGAAAAACCTAAAGATAAATCAGAGGAAAATTCTTCTACCAAAGAGGAAGCGGAAACTACTGAAAAGAATGATAAAAATGATACGACTGAAAAAGCCGACAAAAATGAAACGGCTGAAAAGACTGACATCAAAGAAAAGGATAAACAATCTGTCGCAGAGGAAACGCCTTCGACTATTGACGATAAAGAGGAAGGTGAATTGACTGATAAAAATGATAAAGAAATTAAAACTGAAGATGAAAAAAAGATTGACGACGCAGAGACATCTACTGAAGCTTCAACTGATGAAACCAGCAAAAAGGAAAGCAAATCAATCGGGTACGAGAACCTGCTCGATGACAACGATGATTATTTGCTCTACCTGAAAGACATTCTAGTTCGCATTCACAATGAATTCTACAGTCAATACGAGGCCAAAAAGCGTTACCAGACGCAAGGCGAAGAAATACTGTTACCAGACTTGAAGGACGTGATTCCGCGGGTGCGAAAGTTGGTGCTACACGGAGTCAATATCGTCTTCAGCGGCGTCATTCCCACGAACACCCAAGTTGAGGCGAACCGATTCTACCGACTGTCACAGTCACTAGGCGCCATAGTCACCAACGATGTGATCGTCACTGGTTCACCCAAAACGACACATCTTGTGGCTTCAAAGTGGGGCACTTTAAAGGTGAACAAATGCCTGCAGTTTCCCCATATCAAAATTGTCACTCCTGACTGGCTGATTGCCTGCGCTGAAAGATGGGAAAAAGTGGAAGAGCAGCTGTTTTCACTGAACAAAGACACTGTCTACAATTTTAATGAGCGCGAAGATTGCCGAAAGGTCTTTATTCCAAACTATGAGCCACATTCTCGACCAAAAATATCTCCTCCCCATGTCAGCCCTAATGAGCCCTCCACCTCATTTGCTGCCGGTGATGATGAACCTATCGATCCGGAAACGATGCTCGACTTTTCACCACTCTCGAGCTTTAGCAAAACTGACCTTTCTGAAATGGGCAAAGAAGTGGACGACGCATGCAGTGATGGCGATGAGCTCGATTTGAGTGAATCTAGTGACGACAGTGAACTAGATGAAGAGTCCAGTCCTGGCGAGCCAAAGAGAGTTCTAAAATCAACGAAAAAGCCGGAAGCGGACGAAGATGATGATATGATGAACTACGAGAACGAAGGTGAATTTCCACAAGGCTGGAAAAACTTGGCCGAAAGCCGTAGGGGAGTTAAACGATCAAAGGACGATTCTGACGAGGACGATGAGGAGGAGGACAATGTGACCACCAGTTCTGATGGTGAAGACTCCGATGATGATGGTTCGTTAGATGAAGAGGCCGCTGCTTTAGAGCGACAATTCCAGTCCGCCGACTAAGTCACTGGCGCTAAACTTGTCCTTTTCTCATTTTATAACATTTCAGTATACTTGTATATTTTTCATTTCATCCTCTCTTCTAAGCATCCTTTTGACATTTACAATCGCTCCAAATAAGTTTATACAAAGTAAAATCTGATTTAAATTCAATGATTTCTGGTTTTCCTGTAGTGGAAATAGTGTACTTCGGTTGAAATAGTCCGGCAAAAGGCTGCTGCTGCTGCTGCTGCTGCTTGTGATTCAGCATCTTTTGTTTTGGTGTCAAATCATCTCTTGTTCTCCAGTGAAACCCGGTCTTTGTAGTTATCTTCCCGAGCATCTCCTTTCCACCCATCAAAAATGGTCAAATCCAACAGCACCGGTGATGTGGCCGTGGCCGTGCCCGTCAACACGAAGGAGCAACAGCCTCGCACCGCTACGGGCTCCCTCGTTGAGTTGCCATTCAAGAAAGTTGTCGTCCATCCACTGGTGCTTCTCTCAGTTGTGGATCACTTTAATCGCATGGGCAAAATTGGAAACCAGAAACGCGTTGTCGGCATTCTTCTGGGCTGCTTGAAGGGAAACCGCACTTTGGATATCTCCAATAGTTTTGCTGGTTCGTTTTTTGTACTGTCATCATTTTTAGGCAAAAACAACTAACCAATCTTTTGTCTAATTCAACAGTGCCTTTTGATGAAGATGAGCGGGACAAGTCGGTCTGGTTTTTGGATCACGATTACCTGGAGAATATGTATGCCATGTTCAAGAAGGTCAATGCTAAGGAGCGCATTGTTGGCTGGTACCACACCGGACCTAAACTTCACCAGAATGACATTGCAATCAACGAACTAGTTCGCAAATACTGTCCCAGCTCTGTTTTGGTCATCATTGATGCCAAGCCCAAGGACATTGGCCTGCCCACCGAAGCGTACTTTGCTGTTGAGGAAGTTCATGATGATGGTACTCCCACCTCTAAGACCTTTGAACACTTGCTCAGCGAGATTGGAGCCGAGGAAGCCGAAGAGGTTGGCGTTGAGCACTTACTCCGCGACATTAAGGACACCACTCTCGGATCCCTGTCACAGCTTGTCACCAATCAACTTCTTGGCCTTAAGGGCTTAAACGTTCAAATACAGGCGATCAAGAACTACTTGGAGGCTGTACTGGCTGACAAATTGCCGATGAATCACACCATCATCTACTTGCTGCAGGATATCTTCAACCTGTTGCCCGATGTGACGAGCGAGAACTTCGTCAATTCATCTTTTATCAAAACCAATGATCAAATGCTCGTCGTCTACCTGGCCTCGCTGGTGCGATCTGTCATTGCGCTGCATAATTTGATCAACAACAAAATCGCTAACCGCGACGCCGAAAAGAAAGAGTCCCAAAAGGACACGAAGAAGGAGACTGACAAGGAGGCCACCGAGAAGAAGGTCGACGCCAAAGACGCCGAGAAGAGCAAGGCGAAAAAGTGAACTCATACTAAACATACGTGCGCAACCACTTAACACTCTTGGCACTCGCAAATTGCTTTTACGGCAATACTTTTTTCATTTTAACATTGAAATATACTTGTAAATTTTTATTACTAATTAGAAACAATTAACAAAATTAAAGTTGTTCACAAGAGCCGTAAAGAGCTGGTGAACAAGATAATGTGACCAGAAAGACTGCTCAGCGCTTGAAGTAAGCATGGCTGGGCACAAGAAGGTAAGAAGGTAAGAAACAGTAGAAGAAGGCTCTATGTACACTTGATACACTATTGACAGGGGGAGAAGATGAGACGGATGATGTATACATATCCTTNGAAACAGTAGAAGAAGGCTCTATGTACACTTGATACACTATTGACAGGGGAGAAGATGAGACGGATGAAGCATACAATTCATCGCAGAGACTTGGGCATTTTCTGTGACCAGTCCATTTCGCGGTAAATAAATCCTGCAGAAATAAAATGTCACCAATTATAGTGGTGCAAAAAAACTATCGAGAATCGACTAAAAGAACATCATTACAGTTCATGTT